GGCAGGCAGGCGGGTAGGTAGGTAGGCAGGTGGGTAGGGAGACGGTAAGAAATATATTATAATGATGATGTAGTAAACATGGGATTACGTTACATTGCCTTACAGCAATGAAATGTACTGCAATGTGATGTCACATGATAACACAAGCGCGACGTCATGCCCTCCCTGACAAGGAACGGCATGGACGCGAGGCAACTTAACGCAATCCGGTGCACCTCGTCCCGAAGGGGTGAGCTCGGCCGCTTAGGCGCGCTCTTTAAGGCGTGCCGTAGCTCCGAAGCAAGCACCTGCGGCAGAAAAAAACCCTGAATTTCTTTGGACGATGCTGACCGCGACGATGATGAAGCGGCTGGCGATGAAGAAGAAGAAGAAGAGGATCATGATGATGATGATGATGATGATACTGATGATGATGCTGAACCAGTGATGGCGATGATGACGCAGATGCTCTGTTTGCCACCTTCTGTGGTACATGCTCCAGACTATGTCACGAAAGTTGCGAGTTGAGGGTTTGGGGTGCCTGGTTCTGAGCCTTTGAAGGCTTAGCGCTTAGAGCTGTGGGTCGTTTGAGGTTTTGGGTTGCTCTGAAGCCTTCAACCGAATACTCCCAGGTGTAGGAACGAAGAGGAAACAGAACTGGGTTGTTGCCAACAGCAAACTGCCTGCAAATTGCAACGTTTTGATCTCAAGACGAGTGATACTGCTGAATATAGGGGCATGAAGAACTGCCAATACGAAACCGATTCCGAAATACAGCTATAAGTACAAACCCTGCTCTATTATGTAAGAACGAGCATGGGCAACAATAACAATCGCAAAACTGATATTACTCGTACTGACAATAATCAGCACAAAAAACTATACCCTAAACCCTAAACCCTAAAGCTTGGCCCTAAAGGAAACTACTTTCCCAAAAGACCCGCGTCCGCCGACCTTGTGGAGCTCCGCCTCGCAGTGCTCCGCGGCCAAGACGCCGCCATGGCCGTCGTAAACGGCGAAGAAGGCCCACCTTAAGGCTTTGAGGGTTCCTTTAAAGGGCCCTTAAGGCTTAAGGGTTCCTTTAAAGGGCCCTTAAGGCTTAAGGGTTCCCTTAAAGGGCCACCTTAAGGCTTAAGGGTTCCTTTAAAGGGCCCCTCGCAAGGGTTCCTTTAAGGGTTCCCTTAGGCTTGGAACTGGGAACCGACAGCTGAATAAAAGCCTTGGGGCATCGAGTCTTGAAAAGTTCGGGGTGCAAGGAGGATTTTACTCTTCCGAGAACTCGGGTTTAAGGGTTGCTACAACTACTTAGAGTTTGGTGTAGAGTTACGGGTTTGGGGCTAGAGGGATTCAGGGTCTTGGGCTCGGGTCCAAAGCCAGACTTAGAGGGCGTTGGCTCTTTAGGGCCTGGAGGTCTAGGGGTTCTGGGTTTTGGGGGGTTTAGGGTTTAGGGTTTAAGGGTTTATAGGGTTTGTGTTCCGGGCTTAGGGCTCAGGGTTTCGGGCCTGTCGGATTGCAGCTGCTGCTCTTGGCTCCGCAAACCATCAAATCTGGACCCCACTCTTCCACGGTTAGTACCAGGGCAAGCAGAGTCCGAGCCACGTCTCGTTACCAAGCTCGCCATCCATGAAGGGATCTATGATACAATACTTGTCCTGAAGTCAGCAGCACGGCAGGGCTTCGTGTTCAATGCGCTTGAACCGAACCTGACTGAAGGGAAGCAAGATGATCATCAGTCATCAGATATGATATCCCCTAGTATATGATCTGTATATGATCTGTATGTCTGAATGTCATGGAGACCTAGTACGTAGCTTCCTTGTCATAAGCATGATCGATTGCCACATGCTCTATTTCGAACCTTGCAGACTACTCTCTCAGGACTGCAAAACAAGCACCCATTTTTCGCAAGTCCACCATAGTTTGCCATAACTCCCCGAACTAGAGTCCCCCATGAAACGATGTACCCAAACAAACCAAATCTCTTTGTTTAAGAGACCCCCGAATTGAGCCCTAAACCCTACTACCCTGAACCCTGCATAGCCCGTTCTGGTAGCCCTTATCCTGAGCAGAAGCCTTAAGCAAACTCTCAAGAAGCCCCCAGAATCCCTTGCAGAACCCAAAACACCCTAAACCCTAAACCCTTAAACCCTAAACTCATTGTGTAGCCGCTAGAATCCCTTGCAGAACCCAAAACACTCTAAACCCTAAGCCCTTGAACCCTAAACTCATTGTTTTTAAACAGCCCCTGGGCTCCTCCATGTAGGCGCGGTACTGAGAGTTCGGCTCCGCAGCCTTGCTGACAAAGGCCACCGCGGTGCCATCCCTGCAAAGACACGGGGCTTGGGGGTTTAGGGTTTCTGGTTGAGGGTGGGGTGGAGGGTTTAGGGTTTAAGGGTGGGGGGAAAAGGGCTCGGGGATGCTTGGGGCTTAGGGTGTCAGGATTGTGGGTACCACTATGGTTCTATTAAATCTCATCTTATCTCTCTGCGCCCAGGCGAGGGCAAAGCGAAAGCAGCAGGGCCACGCTGAAAATACCCTAAACCCTGAACCCTAAGTCTGCTGTTATCTTGACTCTTGCCATCTTCCTGCCTGGCTTTCGGCAGGTGAGGCGTGTGCCTTAGCTCGGCAGTCGTCGGCTCCAGGAGCCGAAAATGATCAGAAAACAGCTCAGTTCGTGAATCTGACAGGGGGCTGATGCGCCTGTGCCGGGTTCGGATGATCCTGACAGTCGAATGAGCTATTGCCTCGAAGCCTGCACAGGTGCATGCGGTCTCACGACTGCAGCACCAACGGTCCTGTGCCCGCGGCGCACCAAAAAGCGTAGTGTCGCCTGGATTTGCTCGGGTAAGACGGGAGAGTTTGGAGTTTGGAGGCTCTTCGTCATGCTCTTTCGAGAAATGGTAAAAAGAAGTCCAAGATCATTGACCACGCGTTCCCCATTCTCATCCTTTCAAGCACCCCGTGATCGTAGACCAAGGTCGGCGCCGATCTTTGGCCGAATGGCCTCCTGACAAGGACATCTTGTGCTGGCGCAACAAGCACGGCTGTCCGGTCCAAGCAAAGCCATCGTCCAGCAGTTGAATAAGATGAATCAGCTTTAACGGTCTACAGCCCCAATCAGTGCCTCCGGCAAGCTTTGGTGACGCTTCCGATGCGCTTCGCCCTCACGCTTCCGTGGAAACGGCATCGTGAAGGTGTCCTGTCGAGGCTGCAAAGACTCACGCCGGAGAGACCCACAAGTGTCCCGCCCGAGCCCCTCCTGTGCCCAGGGCGGAACAACGGCCACGTCGGCACCTGAGAAGGCAAGGCCTTCAGAACGACTTGAAAAGCAACGCAAATTAAGGCTTCGAAGTACCTTTACCTACACATCTAAACGAGCTGAAAGAGACGTGCACCTAGTGCAATCTCATCTGAGCCAATCAGCTCACAGCCCTCGAGGAAGCCGTCCCTTCTCGCCGAGTCACGCGCACCCCGCCGATTCTGCTGCATCCAGGGAGGCTCCTTGGCTCAGAAACAAGCTCGGATTCTAGTGTATCGGTAAAAAAGCACAATCACGGGAGCACGATAAATACTTGGCTACACATGGAGACATGTTTGTGTGTGTGTATATATATATATGTATGTACATACGTACGTACGTATGTATGTATGGATCTAACTCTGTCTATCTCTATCTATCTCAATCTATCTCCTAATTGTCATGAGTCATCGGCCCAAATAATCTAGTCTCACCCCATCTAATCTTTTCTTGTCCAACCTAATCCACTCTGGTCTGATCTAGATTAGCCATCGAATCTTACCCGGAAGTGGCGATGGCAGTAGCTGTAGCGGTCGCGGTAGCAATGGTAGTAGTCGTCGTCGTAGTCGTGGTCGGAATCGTAGCCGTCGTAGCAGCAGCAGCAGCAGCAGCAGCAGCAGCAGCAGCAGCAGCAGCATCAGCAGCAGCAGCAGCAGCAGCGGCAGCGGCAGCGGCAGCAGCGGCAGCGGCAGCGGCAGCGGCAGCGGCAGCGGCAGCGGCAGCGGCAGCGGCAGCAGCGGTAGCAGCTGCAGTAGCGGTAGCAGTACAAGCAGCTGCAGCTGTAGCAGTCGAAGTAGAAATAGTACTGGCAGCAGTGATGCGTCGTCGGGTTTTCTTTATTGCAGCTCGTGGCGCTTGCAGTGTTGTCGATGATGGTTGTGCTGGTGGCGGAGGCGGAGGCGGCGAGGGAGGTGGTGTCGCGGTGGCAACCGTTCCACGCTGTTCAACCGTGTCTGGCTGGGAGGATTGAAGCATTCCTTGTTGCCTTTTTCCGTTTTTACGATTGCATCTATGGCGTTGGCCCTGGCATGCCAACTGTGAACTTAGTTAACCGTTCGCTGAATCGGTCGCTAGGCTTTTTGCAGCCCGGGACGCGTGGGAAGGACCCCGTGGCGCCTGTCTTTGGGCCTCGCCCCGCTGTTTGGGACCTGCTTCGCAAGGCACTGAAGGAAACCAGATTTTAAGAGCTGACGATTGCCCGCCCGCTAGACAGAAAGGAATATCCATCGGGACCCTGCCTGGGGCAGTATCGTTGTGCCCAGGTCGGTATCCGCCCAGCGCGACGGGAAGCTGCTGCAGCAATTCTTTCGCACTGTCCTGGCCTGGACACGATGCCAAGTTCTGTCAAGCATCCAACCACATTGCCATGCATTTAAGGGAATTGCTACCTCTGAGACCATTTGACTTCGCCGACGCTGGTCTGAAGTCTCCGTTCCCTGAGCGCCTTCCCTTCCCAGCCTCGTCCTTTGGCGGCGGCTGCACGGCCAGTGGTGGCAGCGTGGTTCATGAAACGGCCCTCGATGCATTCCCTGCGACAGGATGATGCACAGCAAAGCTGTGGCATGCTCGCTTGAGTGGAGCGCCATGCCGCAAAAAAACAGGATCCGAAGCCTCCAAAGAAAGCTAACACCCGAAAGATGTCGGAACCAAGGGAGATCTGCGCATGGAGGAAGACCTATGGGAGAGACTGAAATCCGGCCTGACACCCCCGGCATCTCTGTGGCTGGGGCGGCGTCCATGGGTATTGTAGGCCACGGATGCATTCATAAAAGGGATCCGCGCCAAAAACGGCAGCTTCTTGCCACCTCTTTGAAAGAAAGAAAACAGAGGCAGAGAGGGAGGGTCGGAATGCCTGGGTTTTTGTCAACTTTGGGCCTGTTGCCAGCAACTTCACTCGACTTGCTAAGGCTTGGAAAAACACTTGTATCTTCTCGCATCGCGATCCTTCGTGCTGCTGACAGCTGCTATCCGCAGTTTCGCATACACTGGCTCGCTGGGACTGCCTAGTGGTAGCGACTGACAGACTCACATTCATGCTCTACAAGAACAGGTGCATGCAGCTTTTGACTGAGTAAAGCTAAGCTCTGAGGTGTCTATTTATGATCACGAACTACAGCCTAGACAAACGGCTGCAAAGGCTGAGCCTTGATCCGCGTGCCTGCAGAAGGACGACCGAATCCTACAAGACTGAAATAACGTAGCCTTTCTGCAGATCCGCGACATGAGCACAGGGCAATTGTTGGTCAGGGCCACTCAATGGAAGAGTCAGACTTCAGCTGAGCAATGTGACTATCGAAGCCCCTTTGCTGAGGACAAAAACGCTTGAAATCCCACTCCTGGACCAGGATGACAGGCACTCTTCCCCCCGTTCTCCCTGCTTCTGCTTCTGCTACAGTACTCGTGCTGGTACTTCGTCGACCACTGCTGCTGCCGGTGCTATTAGTCTTGCTTCCACTGCTACCCTCAATGCCACGACGGTTGATTTTGCTACCATCGGGACAGGGGCAGTGCTTTCCGCTTGCGTCGCCCTGACCTAGCATTTCCGAGTGCGGCGCATGGTCAGGAGGGGTGCCACGAGCTCCAACTGCCCGATGAGCACAAGAAGCGCCTCGGATCCCGAGCTTGGCAGCCGGGCCTAGACTTGAGCACCTCTTGGGATTGTACGTAGTGCTAGACAGCGAGCTCGGGTGAGCATTCGATGGCACGGCATTCCGTCGGGACTCACCAGTGCAGCCGGTCCAAGAACCAGCAAGACCACCCCATAATAAGTCGGTTCATCAAACTGGTCAACTTCAGAGTATTGGAATTTACAATGACTTGGCCGTCCTCGACGCGGCGGCAGCCAGACTGTGGACCGTGGAAAGAATGCGAATATAGACTGGACCACAGCAAAAGTCGCGAAACCGCGAAGTGCACCTGCCGGGGCCAGCAGGACTGCGACCTACTCCTGCTGACCCCTGGCCGTAAGAACCCACTATGTTCCTAGACTGTTTGGGGGAAATATCCTCAGTCCTATCTCCCAAACTGCCGCCGTGCCACAGCAGCAAAGTAGGTGAACAGCAGTGCTCGGGTTGGCTCGCCGGAGGAACTCAGCGGCTCCAACACTCGCAAGGCTGGCATCAGCCGGTCCTGACGGCACGAGTCCCCGCGCAGTAGCCGCAGCAGAAGTAGCAGGAGTAGTGGCAGTGGTGGCGGTGGTAGTAGTAGTAGTAGTAGTAGTAGTAGTAGTAGTTGTTGTTGTTGTTGGTGTAGTAGTAGTAGTAGTAGTAGTAGTAGTAGTAGTAGTAAGAGTAATAGTAAGAGTAGTAGCAGTAGTAGTAGTAGTAGTAGTAGTAGTAGAAGTAGTAGTAGTAGTAGTAGTAGTAGTAGTAGTTGTTGTTGTTGTTGTTGTTGCTGTTGTTGGTGTTGTAGTAGTAGTAGTAGT